CAATTGAGCGATGGTGAATTGTTAAAAAATTGAATTCAAATTCTTGTAGCATGCAAAAATTTTTAAATATCAGTAGTATATGTTTGATATTTTCATTTTATTACATCGAAGACTTTTTAACAAATATCAGTATTGCACTGTTAGCAAGTGTTAACCAGAATTCCCTTCATAGCTGATTATTTGAAGAGTGTCGTAGAAATCAATAAAATAATTTTGACTACTAAAAGTAATGATATCTAATTATTAGTTAGAAAAAAAATAAGCAATTATGCAAATTTTTTGTTTTCTAATTTCAAAAAACCAAAATGCACATCTGTTGTTTTCTAAAACAAACGGAAAAAAAAAGGCAAATGCGTTAGAATTAATTTTTTTTCTTTTCATTTTTATTAATCATAGTGAGAAGTTTGTTTTTTTCAGTAACAAGGAAGAAATATTTTCTGATCTAATGTAGGTAAAATTTAGTTTGTTCTTTTAAAAAATTAAATTTTATGGTGGTTTCTCTTTCATATTTTTTTTTTCAAAAAATTTCTGCTCTATATGATAAGATTTATCATACACGTATTTTTATGACGAAAAATGTTATCGATGTTTGAAATATGTGCTTTTATTAAAAGATTGATTAATAAATTTCGTTTTTTTTTTTTCTTTCAAATTAAGCAAACTTAAAATTGTAAGATGCATGCATGAATTAATTGCATTGCAAACACGATTGCAATGCAGTTAACTGACGGAAATTAAAAATTATTGTAAAAGAAATGAATAAAAGGATCATATTTAATTATAATTTATAGGGACAAACTTGTCGAGTAAAATTTATAAAAAATTACTGCGGAATTAAAAAAAATGGCAAAAATTTCACCAACAGTGGAACAAAAACGAATTAATGTTATTGTTAATAGTGATATTACCATTGGTGAGAAATCGATTGAAAAATCGGATCGATTACCAGCAACCAAATATATCGATGTGAATGACGGAAATAACATGCATTCAATGGTTTGCATCTTTTCATTTGTTTATTTGCATAAAAAAAATTATGAAATATTAAATGATAAAGTATGACTGATTAAATTTTAGTGAAATTTAAACGCCATTCTAACAAATTATATTGTAATTTAGAGATGCATGAATTAACAGTGAAATATGAAGTTTAATTTACCGAGAAATGCATGTATTTATCATTCTTTCAATAAGCATAATCACTTATTTTTGGCATTTTTTTTTCCTTTCATTAATGAGAAATGAGGAAATATTTGTGAGATATTTGAGCTGTCCGTAACGAAAATTTTTATTTAGTTGAATTCTGTGTTTTCAATTGTTATATTTATTGAAAATGAGTAATGAGTAAACTGAAATAAGTAATGGTTCCTTACTTATTTGAGAGCAGAATACTTGTGTTTTTTTTTTTACAGATATTCTTAAATCTTCACGTATGATATCAGCATTTTTTGTTTAATTAAAATTTGAGGTTGGATTTGAAAAATTTCCTGAAATTAAATTATAATTTAAAAAAAAAAAACCAGAGACTGATGATAAGGCTTTGCTTACTGATTGATCTATTTGGTTGCTATGATCTTTTAAGTTTACAAGTAGCATTAAATCAATTTTGTTTGATATCGTTATTGGAAAAAAAAAAACGATCTTGGAAAATAATTTTAATACCATGATCCTAATCTTTTTAATTCTTTTTCCGTTAATTTTGAAGTTTATTAACGATTTAAAATCATTCACATAGCTGACAGTTTAAATCAGTAAAAATCATATATTTCTCTTTTCCTACCTTTACGAAATAGAAATAACTAATGTTAAGCTATTTTTTCTTTCAAAAAAAAGCAAAAATTAATTAAATCAGTAACGGCTACTAATATTACAAACAAAACTGATTGAGAGCAAAAATTTTGAAAAATAGCAGATCAAATAAATTTGTTGATTTTTTACACAAATGATGAAATTTGGAAGCTGAAAACTAAATGTAAACTGAAGTCAGAAGTTGAAAATGATATGAATCAAATAAAATAATATTATGACACTAATGTCTACTAATAATGATTTTTTTTGAAATTACATATTGGTTTGTTTTATTTCTCTAATTACTCGCATTACATAAAATCAACAGTAATAAATTCCATAAGTAATTCAATTATCAATTTCGATGAATCATTGGATCTAATTCGACATTTGAAAATTATCACCTATTCCTATAAAGTATTCTTTGTGTTTCCATTCAAAATTAATAATCGATATTTCATTAATGTTAACAATTATCACACACAATTAACTTTTCATCCCTCTTTTGTAAATTATAACTATCAACGAATGCTTTCCTTAATTGTTTCTATATTCTAAAATTTCAGGAAAATCAGCAATTTAGAAGTTCAAAAAGTTAAACTACAACTATACTATCATTTACCAGTAATTTTGTAGTGCTATCATTTAACCAAATACAAAACTAAAATATCACATGATATCACTGTAATGAAAACTGTTAATATTACCATTATTGTCAATAATTTTTAGTACTTCTATTTGACTAATTTAAAACCCGAATATCACGTGATTGAATGAATATCTTCAATATGCAATATTACAAAAAAAAAAAAAATCGTTCAAACAAAACAATTATTTAACCATCGAAATACAGTAAATTACTGTCATTCCTATACAGCAACAATTATCACATCAGACAGTTCTGTTTGCCTTATCGATAAGTGTGCTCATACTTTTAATCATATTATATTTGTTCATAATGTACTTATTTTGATAATAGCTATATCGTTTTTCTCATTTTCTACTGCTTTTTCGAGAATTGAAAATTGAGCGATTTCAAAATTTATTAATTTCATCTTAATTTCAATTCTACTATCTTTCTGCTACCATTAATTATTCACTAGAGATGATCATTCCTGAATTCATAAACAAACATGACCACCTGAAATTTTGTCCAAAAAATTTTTTTTTTCAGATACAACACTCATTCAAGTATCATTTACTTGTTATATGATTGTCGATGTTACTCTAACATTTTACTTTTGAAATTATTATATTTTCTCTGTCAATTGAATTGGAAAGACAACTTGCTCTTTTTTAAGTATTCATTAGAAACCACATCGATTGTTGTAACAACGTGGTATCGATTGTTTATTACTGCTTCGCAAAAAAAGAAGAGTTTATCGATAAAAACTGGAAATTTAATGAAGTCAAATTTGAAATAACACTTTGAGACATTTTCATACTGCTAACAATCACCAAAAGTTACAACGACGTCTTTTCCAGTCTTCGATGACCTCTGATCGAAATTCTTTTCAACATTCACCTATAAATGACCCGCTTGTCAGCCATGATTCCGATCACAACGTAAGTCTCTCTCTCTCTCTCTCTTTCTCTCTCTCTAGACTTTTCATTCTTTTTTATTTATTTTTTATTAATTAACACTGTAAACCATTTTTAAATTGACTTTTATCTAAAATGAAGTCTAAAATAATGAACTTAATTAAATACGATAGTGATACGTTTCCTTGTCCCGATTTATTCATTCAAGATTAATTGAAAAAAAAAAATTATTTCACCGGAATAAATGCTATATAATGATCATAGAAAATATTAGCAAAAGCAAAAAAAAAAAAAAAATGTTCTCGAAGTTTCATTCCTGTCATTTTTTTTGTTTAACTTATCACTGATCGAATGGCTGAGCGTAATACTTTTTTATCACTTTTTCTTTCTCTTATGCAAAATCTTCCATTCAATCATATCAGTTTCGTTTTAAACTGTTAAATGAATTGTCAATTTCATCTAAACAGCAATTGCTAACCTCCAATTTAACTTGACAGCTAAATATGAGATCAATATTTTAGTTTTGGATATTAATCATTTCGTGCCAGAAAGATTGCCTAATTGTAATTGACATTGCTGTAAACAGTATTTACTGTTTTACTAAATAATAAAATGATCAGATGATAACAAATAGCAAATACGAAATCAATCACTAATTTCAAATTAGAGAAACTCGTCAAATCTTACTATCTGTCTGATTTATAAACAGATGATTTCGTTAGTAAATCTTCTGACTGATAAAATATGCTTATTGAAAAGGACGAAATGTTTTTTTTTTTTTTGAATTTTTTGCAACATCAATAGGATATCTTCAATCTGCTTTTTTAACTTTAACTTCTAAAAATCGATTTCAAATGTAATAAGTTATTTATATGTATTGGCTATTTTCAATGATTCGCTTCAATTTCCATTTTAGTCAATGAATAGCTCACTAAGAATTCGCATCCATTCACCACTAATTTTTCGTCTCGTAGATTTAAAATTTATGGAAATTGCAAAAATATCTTCCGTGAATATTTTTTCCACTTTTAATTATCAGCTAAAATTGCAAGTTAATTGATATGCTAAAAAGTAACTCAGCTTTTCAAGATCTTTTATTTGATTAAAAAATTGTAAAATTTGGTTGTGTGAAGGTGAGAACTGAAAATGGAAATTAAGAATTGAAAAATTAAAATTGATGGAAAAATATAAAAATGGTATGATGCTAGCCCGTTAAACTATTCTAATCGGACATTAAAATATTTCTTAAACAATGAATTCCGTTATCAGGATGATCCAGTCATTCGGTATAACGTATCATTCAATAGAATGACCTGAAAAGAACTCCGTCACTTAAGGTCAGAGGTCGTTCCATATTATTAGCTACGTTAAATCATTTACCAGTAATGACTTCACATATTAGTCATCGAGTTGCAACAGCCGCAAGTACTCCACAGCGGAACATTGCATTATGGTGAGGGTGGATTTATGCATCGGTGCAGGAATGTGTATTTTGCGTGAGACGTTTATGGGCTTTTGGGAGACTTTGGTGTGATTTTTTGGCCAGAGCTTTAGTCATTGCAGGTACTTCTAGTCCATCCGTCTTGATATTGCACGTACATTCAAAAGGGGAGAATTAGAGCAGTGTGTATAATTGTACCGGAGAATTCAATTCCTGAAATTCAATCAGTATGGCTGAGGAAGTGCTATTTGGACATCGAAATGAAGCTTTTGAGTATATGGAAGAAAGGACGGATGATATTATAACCACGGAACCGGGCTTCATAACCCCTGCCGGCATTCCTCATACACGTTGCAGATTGAAGCGACATACCTGCAAACTTACCACCGAAGGTATCAGCAGTTCAGGTGATGAAGAAATTAATGAAATGAAAAGATTGGACGAGGTAATAGTGATATTTTTTTCCTCTCCAAGAGAGTCCCAGCTATTCTGACAGTAGTACTAATTGTTACTGTTACTTTTATCGTTTCCTTCTTTAGTTATATTTATCTTAATTTTCGTAACATTTATTTCATTTCTTGTGTAATACTCTAAATGCGGTCCATAATTAAACTTTGAAAGACTGAGTACAATATTTAAAATGAAATTGATATGGAATGAATTGAACAGTTGCTACTTTCATTGTATGTCATATGCCTTATTTTTGATAGCAATGAGAATTCTCTTCTGCTTATATGTCAGATTAATGCGGCTCCTCACATGGAAATTATTTGTTTATCGTGTAAGGCTTCACTTATTGATTGATAAAAAGGAATATACTTTCAGCTAGGATCTGATTGATCGAAGTTTATGTTATTATTGTGCAATGATTTTTTTTTCCTTTAAATAATAAGTGAATGAGGCAGATATTAAAATAGCTTCATTTTCAGACGCGACCGGAGGATTTACCGTTGACATGGTTGCACCGTATCAAAAAATTGTTTCGAGGAGATTTCGGATCATTATGCCTTCTAATGTTTCTCTATTTGCTGCAGGGCATACCTTTAGGTTTGATTGCAGCCATTCCACTTGTCTTATCCGGTAAACATGTATCCTATGGCCAGCAAGCTGTTTTTTCGTTTGCACATTGGCCTTTCAGGTATATATACTTATCATGCATTTTTGCTTAATGATTAGTTATGGAAGAGTGTACTTTGCGGATAAGGTTATCAACTATTTTGATATTCCGAATAAATTTCTAATGTATGAGTAGAATTGTAGAGAATCTGACCTAGAAATTTTGTTGCGGTAGGATGTGGAAGTGCAAAAAGTGGAATAGTACCAGTGTTTGGCGAAATGTATTTCTCAGATTTGAAATGTGGAGTATGAATGTAAATAAGTCAATTACAATAAACGAAATCTGATAAATAGAGGTTTTTAACCTTATCTGTTAAACGTTTTGGTGGGATGTTTATTTTTTCCAGCGTAAAGTTACTTTGGGCACCGATCGTGGATTCAGTTTACTGGAAACGTATAGGTCGTCGGAAATCATGGATGGTTCCATGTCAATATCTTATTGGCATTTTTATGCTTTTATTATCGTACAGAGTTTCTGAAATTATAGGTGATAGTCCAGGCAAGCTTATTTGTTAGTTTTAAGATGGGGATTAATAGGAAGGGAGGGAAAAGAGAGAAAATGCTGTTTAGATACCTTTTGTTTAGATGTTTATATGCAGTTGTCTTCGTTATAAATATTGTTCTTTCAGATTCAAAACCACCAAATGTGCTTTTATTAATGTTTTTATTTTTGCCATTGAATTTTCTTGCCGCTACGCAAGATATAGCTGTGGATGGTTGGGCACTTACCATGCTCTCTAGGTGATTATTTATAATTTTATAACATTTATTCCTAAATTACAAAATTCTTATAGTATTTTTAATATTAAATTGCAAGATAATACATGATCGATTTTCCTCATACTAGCACTACTACTTTAGTACAACCGTTTTTCTGATTTATTTAAATTAAACTAGATAAATATTGGTATTACAGGGAAAATGTCGGACATGCATCGATTTGTAACGCAGCCGGTCAGATGGCTGGTTTTGTTTTGGGAAATGTTATGTTTTTAATGCTTGACTCACCCGATTTTGCCAATCATTTCTTCCGTAATAAACCAGAACCATATGGCTTAGTAAACCTATCGGGTTAGTCCTTGTTTGCTTTTAATTTATATAATTTGTGTATATTTTTAGTTATCAATGCATTTATTAGTTTATGTTTAAAATTCACTTAGAACATTGTTTTACTTGGCAATGGCAGTTATCAGTGTACGTTTTTCTCGATCACGCTTTATCTCTGAAGATGAAGAGAATAAGGTGTTTGAATTGCATTTCAAATTTGGACTATAGTTTTTTGTATCAGATGAAAAATGCTGCAACAAAAATTTTTTTTATTGATGCAACAAGCAAAATTTTCGAATTATGTAATCGTCTGACGTTTAATATTACTAAAAAAATTCATGGCTGAGATTTTCAGAAAATTCACGCTTTTGTAGTTGATTTAATTGCTACATAAAAAGTTTTTTACGAACGAAAAATATAAACAGAAAAACTGGAAGAAATGTGACATTGCTTACTAAAAAAAAATTAACAGGATGAGCGATAGCTTGAATTAAACAGAATTAATATATGTTGATATTCATAAAAAATCTTTCATATCTGTGAGCGGATTCCAAATAAGAGCAAATCTAATTATATTTCTGACACTTACATCGCTAGTCCAATTGGGAGCAGTCTCAAAGGGCATATAAAGTTCTGGACAAATTATTTGTAACCATTAGTCTACAACTCCAATTGACGACAATTCTAATTTTTTTCTGAAATGTAATTAATTCTGATCGTCAGTGTAGATATTAAATGAAATCCCTTATTCAATTTATGATTGAGATAAACATGAATTAGTGACTTCGCATAGTCAGTTTTAGTGCAGTTCATCTGCTCTATTTAATGAATCGAAATAAATATAATTCAATTTACCAGCGAAAGTAATTTTTCTCGCATAACGTAAATAAAAGATTAATTTATCCGAAAATATTAATATCATGTAGAGTTGTCTCTAAACTTAATCTGTTGAAGGTATTTATATCAGTAAAAGGAATACCCAAAGCGAAATGGAAATAGCAAAATGAACTAGATTTCAACTTA